GCAAAAAAAAATCACTCTGACCTTTGAGCTGCCTCTTAATAGCAGAAGATGAAGTGCCCATGTGAAAGACGCTCTCCCTATGCTAAAAAGATGCAGAGAAATCTGTACAGACCTTGTTAAATACTGAGCATAATCACCACAAAGATAAATATGTAGGTGATGGAAGTGCTGTCTACCCAAAGTGAGTTATTGTGCAACGCCCTTGTATTGAAACAACACACCATATCACAAATGTGTACAATTAAAAATAAACTTAAAAAACTTATTGTTTAGGGCCGGCCAGGTGGCGCACTGCTACAGTGTGCCGCTTGGGAGCACGGTGGCGCTCCCGCCGAGGGTTCGGATCTCACATACAGACCGGTTCCTGCTCACTGGCTGAGCGAGGTGCGGGCGCAGCACCGAGGGTTGCGATCCCGTTGCTGGTCCCGGTCCGGTACGGGCGCGACACTGAGGGTTGCAATCCGTTGCCGGACACGAAAAAAGACAAAAAGGAAAAAAAAAAAATAGAAGTCAGATCATGCAACTCTTAAAAATTAGAATAAAATCCAAAATTCATGCAGGGCCTGCATGATCTGTGGTAACCCCTCCAGTCTCATTGCCAACCACTCTTCTTCTCACTCACTTTACCTCACACCACATATGCTCATTGCTGTTCCTGAGCATTCTGCCATCTTTAACCCTTTCTCTTTGCAGTGCTGATTATTCTTTGTCCAATTCAGTATATAAGTAGCTGACTCTAGCTGCTTCTTTGGGGTCTTTATTTCTTTAGGAGGACTCCTGTGCCATGTAAAACTTGTATTATGCTTTTCTCCTGCTAACTTATGTTATGTCAGTTTAATTCTCAGACCCAGCTAGGACCCTAAGAGGATAGAGGTGGAGTTTTTCCACCCTACAGCATATAAAGCTGGGTTCCAGAGCCCAGGCTGGTTGACCCAGTCTGCATGAGGACAGGGCCCTGTCTTTACTTCTAGGTCCTTCCCCACAGGACGGTCTTGGCATTGCAGTTATTCAGGGAGAATGTCCAGTCCTAGCTGAAATGACGCCTTCCTGGCCAAGCCACTAGATGGTGAAACTTCTTACAAGGGACACAACTCCAGGAATCGGTAACATCCTGTCCTCAGGCCAGCAGTGCAGTGGAGCATCTCTGGGGCCACCTTCACTGTCACAAGTCCCTACAATGTCTCCATTCTAAGTGTGCTCACTGAGAGCTGGGATCCTGCCTGCCACAGCTCTGGCCCTCCAGGATACCAGCGTGTTTAAGTAATGTGGGCAGGAGGCTGATGGTGTCACATCTGCAGGCAAATCAGATCCCAGGGGGCTGCCTGCTCTGTGGAGCATAAAATCGCAGGTGCAGATTATAGACAGGGAAGGAGTGGGGAGCTAGGCTGAAAACCCCTTCCTGACCCCTTCACACTAAGTACTTAGGACTAGCAAAATGCATCCAGGAACTTTGAGTTCTGGGGCAGCTGGGACAGCATCCCGTCCCAGCCTTCTTAGAGTTTCCTATTGGGGTAACCAGATACATTCCTACCAAAATGAACCTTACAAACTCAATTCTTCCCAAAGCTGCTAAACTTTCAGAGACATTTTAGGTCCTAGGGCAATGGAATCTTAGTTTCTTACAAAGTGTTGCTTACTTACCCTCTAATTTCCCCAGGACTGGTTTCTGGACTTGGCAAGGCCCCAGGGCTGGAGCTCCCAGCTTCTCCCCGTAGTGTGCAAGCCCAGGGCCCACGCTCTCTCTGGAAGACCACTGCACCCTTGCCTGGTGGAACTTGGGTTCCCCCTTGGTCCCTCCCCCCCCCCCTCGCCTCCACCCCCCCCCCCCCC